AGGCATCCTGTGTCATCATTGCAGGAGGTGAGCTCTACCCTAGTACCCTGTCTGGGAAATAGTGCATCCACAGTCCCCTCTCTTACTAAGTTTATGGGGTAACAACAGGGAGTGGTCATCAGGAGAGAAATCCTGGTGTTTTGGTTTTTTGAGCGGGAGGTATTCTCAGGACACCCTCCTTTCTCCGCACAGGGATAGAGAGTCTGTTATCCCCTATGTATTCTAGACTTCTGAAGCAGAGTCTGCAGTCGAAGTCCCTATCCTTTGTAAAGAGAGACTGTAATGAAAATGTGTTTAAAATATCAAGGCAGGCTTTATTCAGCACAATCGTAATACGAGTTGTGAGAACTGTAATATAGGAGAGAGATTATAGTTCTATATATTACAGTTCTCATGACACATAATAGGCTGTCTACCTGAGTTTAATCTCCCTCCTATATTACAGGGAAAGGTTAGGAAAAGGATAGAACTTGGTGAGGTATCAACAGTTAAGGAAGAGAAAGTAGATGAATTATCATGAGTGGGGGAAACTGAACTTATTAGAAATACCATGTTTGGATGGGGAGGATTCTCTGTGAACTGCCTTAAAAGGCTTTTTGCTATTACTGGGTCCTGCAGGAGAAGCTCAAAGCCTAGACAAGAAGAGGGCTGTGAGCTCAAGTTTGGTCAAAGAACGAGTCCTACCTTGGTGCGGTGGCTCACGCCTGTAATCCTGGCACTTTGGGAGATGGAGGCGGGTGAATCACAAGGTCAGGAGTTGGAGACCAGCCTGGCCAACATAGTGAAACCCTGTCTCTACTAAAAATACAAAAAATTAGCTGGGCGTAGTGGTAGGCGCCTGTAATCCCAGCTATTCGGGAGGCTGAGGCAGGGAGAATCACTTCAATCCGGGAGGCAGAGGTTGCAGTGAGCCAAGATCACGCCGCTGGACTCCAGCCCAGGCGACAGAGTGAGATTGTCTCAAAAGAAAAAAAAAAAGGAGTCCTTAAGACCCCTGTAGTGGCCAGGTGTGGTGGCTCACGCCTGCAATCCCAGCTACTTGGGAGGCTGAGGCAGGAGAATTGCTTGAACCCAGAAGGCAGAGGTTACAGTGAGCCAAGATTGCACCATTGCACTCCAGCCTGGGCAACTATAGTGAAACTCCATTTCAAAAAGAAACCCAAAAACAAAAATCCTGTAGCTTAGCTCTTCTTAGGAATGACAATAAGTCCCTAAATTTCTGGTTCCCTCACTACATTCCAAACCACTCACTTCTCTCTCTAAAGGACGTCTTCAGTTATGTGTTTCTCATGATACATTTGAAACAGCTGCAGTATTTAAATTGTTTATTTTTTACTGCCATAAATGGCTATATTAAAAATTTTATTATTTTATGAATACTTTTTTTTTTTTGAGATGGAGTCTCCCTCTATCGCCCAGGCTGGAGTGCAATGGCGTGCTCTTGGTTCACCGCAACCTCTGCCTCCCAGGTTCACGCAGTTCTCCTGCCTCAGCCTCCCAAGTAGCTGGGATTACAGGTGTGCACCACCATACCTGGCTAATTTTTGTATTATTAAGTAGAGACGGGGTTTCACCATGTTGGTTAGGCTGGTCTCGAACCCCTGACCTCGTGATCTGTCCACCTCAGCCTCCCAAAATGCTGAGATTACAAGCGTGGGCCTACTGTTGCTTTACCACGTGGTTCAATTGTAGCATCATCACCATTTCATCATATACTTATTGTTCAGATTCTATGTATTGGAGAAATGTCACTCAAATACTTCTTTTCCCTTTTTTTTTTTTTTTTTTAGACGGAGTTTCGCACTTGTTACCCAGGCTGGAGTGCAATGGCGCAATCTCGGCTCACCGCAACCTCCGTCTCCTGGGTTCAGGCAATTCTCCTGCCTTCAGCCTCCTGAGTAGCTGGGATTACAGGCACGCACCACCATGCCCAGCTGATTTTTGTATTTTTAGTAGAGATGGGGTTTCACCATGTTCACCAGGATGGTCTCGATCTCTTGACCTCGTGATCCACCTGCCTCGGCCTCCCAAAGTGCTGGGATTACAGGCTTGAGCCACCGTGCCCAGCCTTTCCCTTTTTTTTTTTTTTTGAAATGGAGTCTTGCTCTGTTGCCCTGGCTGGAGTGCAGTGGCACAATCTTGGCTGACTGCAGCCTCTGCTGCCTAGGTTCAAGTGATTCTCCTGCCTCAGCCTCCGAAGTAGTTGGGATTACAGGCATGTGCCATCATGCTCAGCTAATTTTCGTATTTTTAGTAAAGATGGCGTTTCACCATGTTGGCCAAGGCTGGTCTCAAACTCCTAACTTCAAGTGATCCGCCCACCTCAGGCTCCCAAAGTGCTTGAGCCACCATGCCTGGGCTATGTCCATCTTTTCATTAATATCAATTAGTTTTTTTACTTGGTACCATAATTTATTGTTTAAATTACTGTAAAATAATAAAACTACTTAAGCTGGTAAAACTGAAGTTTAAGTGTATAGTTGATATAGTTACACAACACTACATAACTTATCTAAGGTGAATTATACCGTGATTTTTTTTTTTTTTCAGTTTTATCGAGACAAAGAGTTTCTCTTTTTTTCCCCAGGCTAGAGTGCAATGGCGCGATCTCGGCTCACGGCAACCTCCGCCTCCTGGGTTTAGGCAATTCTCCTGCCTCAGCCTCCTGAGTAGCTGGGATTACAGGCACGCGCCACCATGCCCAGCCAATTTTTTGTAGTTTTAGTAGAGACGGGGTTTCACCGTGTTGACCAGGATGGTCTCGATCTCTTGACCTCGTGATCCACCCGCCTCGGCCTCCCAAAGTGCTGGGATTACAGGCTTGAGCCACCGCGCCCGGCTATAACACCTTATTATTATTATTTTTTTTTTTTCTTCACCATGCTCAGCTAATTTTTTGTATTTTTAGTAGAGACGGGGTTTCACCATGTTGACCAGGATGGTCTTGATCTCTTGACCTCGTGATCCACCCGCCTCGGCCTCCCAAAGTGCTGGGATTACAGGCGTGAGCCACCGCGCCCGGCCCGTGAACAGTGGTTTTCAAATACGTCTTCAAGTTTCACTTTTTAATCTTTTTGAATTTGATATAACTAGACCCAAAAGTGGGATGCTGGAAAATACAGTAATTGTATTTTATTTTTTTAGGCACTACTGTACTGTTTCCATAGAAGCTGAGCCATTTATTATCCTTGAAACAGAGCACAAGGATGCCTTTTCCCTGTTGATGGTGTCATATGATGCATAAAGTGTTTTGTTTTTTTATTTTTGAGGCAGAGTCTTGCTGTTGCCCTGACTGGAGTGCAGTGGCGTGATCTCAGCTCACTGCAACCTCCAACTCCTGGGTTCGAGTGATTCTCCTGCCTTAGCCTTCCAAGTAGCTGGAATTACAGGTGTGTACCACCACACCTGACTAATTTTTGTATTTTTAGTAGAGACAGTGTTTTACCATATTGTCCAGGCTGGTCACAAACTCCTGACCTCAGGTGATCCTCCTGCCTCGGCCTCTCAAAGTAGTGGGATTATAGGCATAAGCCACCATGCCTGGCCACGAAAGTTTTTAAGTTTGATAAATACTTGCCTTTTTGTTGAGACTGGGTGCCTGTTTTTTTGTGTGTGTTTTTTTTTTTTCTTTTTTTCTTTTTCCCTGAGCCGGAGTCTTGCCCTGTGACCCAGGCTAGAGTGCAGTGGCATGATCTTGGCTCACTGCAGCCTCTGCCTCTCGGGTTCCAATAATTCAACTGCTTCAGTCTCCTGGGTAGCTGGGATTACAGGCACGTGGCACCACGCCTGGATAATTTTTTTTTTTTGAGACCAAGTCTCACTCTGTTGCCCAGGGTGGAATGTAGTAGGGTAATCTCAGCTTAGTGCAACCTCTGCCTCCTTGGTTCAAGTGATTCTTGTGCTTCAGCCTCCCGAGTATCTGGGACTACAGGCATTATTTTTTTTTTTTTTTGTATTTTTAGTACAGACAGGGTTTCAGCATGTTGGCCAGGCTAGTCTTGAACTCCTGACCTCAGGTGATCCACTGCTGCTGGAATCAGAACAAAATTCACTTTCTAGATATTATCAAAGGTAAAACTTTGTGAATAGGCATTTTTTTCAAGGATACACAGCCTCAGGACTGCTAATGTTAACCTTTCGCATAGGAATTTGGAGGACTTTATTATGGCAGGTGCTGTACTCCCACATTACAAACAGACATTGCGGGGGCCAGGCGCGGCGGCTCACGCCTGTAATCCAAGCAACTCTGGAGGCCAAGGCAGGCGGATCACCTGAGGTCGGGAGTTCAAGATCGGCCTGACCAACATGGTGAAACCCCATCTTATAAAAAATAAATTAGGCTGGGCGCAGTGGCTCAAGCCTGTAATCCCAGCACTTTGGGAGGCTGAGGCGGGTGGATCACGAGGTCAAGAGATCGAGACCATCCTGGTCAACTGGTGAAACCCCGTCTCTGCTAAAAATACAAAAAATTAGCTGGGCATGGTGGTGTGTGCCTGTAATCCCAGCGACTCAGGAGGCTGAGGCAGGAGAATTGCCTGAACCCAGAAGGCGGAGGTTGCGGTGAGCCGAGATCGCGCCATTGCACTCCAGCCTGGGTAACAAGAGCGAAACTCCGTCCCAAAAAATAAATAAATAAATTAATTAATTAAAAAAACAAACAAACAAACAAACAAAAACAGACATTGGGGGCAGCCCAGGCAGCACACCTTTCAGAATTTACCAAAAATACATATTTTCCTATTCTACTGTTGCTTTACCACTTGGTTGAATTGTAGCATCAGAATTACTTTATGGAAGAAACTGAGTGTAGACAGAGAGTATGAGGTCTCATGGTCATGGAATAATTGTTTTGAGTCCACAGCATCATGGGAACTTCTTGAGAGTAGAGTATAGGCCCCATCCTCCTCTATACATGTGGGATGTTTCAGGATTCAGCGGCCTTTGAGGATGTGACTGTGTTAGTCCTACCCATCCTCCTCTGTACATGTGGGATGTTTCAGGATTCAGTGGCCTTTGAGGATGTGGCTGTGACCTTCACCCAGGAGGAGTGGGCTTTGCTGGATCCTTCCCAGAAAACTCTCTACAGAGATGTGATGCAAGAAAACTTCAGGAACCTGGCCTCTGTAGGTAAGGGTGACAATATCACTTCCCTCAGGAAATGCAAGAACAAGTATTTTTTTGTTAAATGAGTATTTTTAGCTCATGAATACTGTTGAGTGATATACAGTGTGGACAGGGAATATCTGATAAAGGAAGCACGTCTGCAGTGTACCCTGAACATAGAATTAAGTAATTTTTTTTCAACAATTTTATACTAATTCAAGATTATTTTCCTTGTTCTGTGTTGTAGGGAAAAAATGGAAAGCCCAGAACATATATGTAGAGTACAAAAATCTAAGGAGAAACCTAAGGTAATTTGCAATCACAAGACAAAGCAGTGTCTCTCTAGAAAATGTTAGAATGGGAGAAAATATTAAAAAAAAAAAAAAAAAAAAGGAAACAAAAGAAATAAGCCCAATTTCAATCTATCTATTCTTAGAAAATGTTATCTAAACACATACTGATGTGTGATACAATGGCTGGACACACTGGCTCAGGCCTATAATTCAGCCCTTTGGAAGGTTTAGGCTGGAGGATCACTTGAGCCCAAGAGTTTGAGGGTATACTAAGCCATGATGGCATTACTGCACTCTAGCCTGGGCAAGAGTGTGAGACCCTGACTCAAAACCAAATTTAAAAGAGACAGATATTTAGTATTTGTAAAATAATTTACTTTAAAATAGTATTATTCAGAGAGTCCAGGCACGGTGGCTCACGTCTGAAATTCCAGCACTTTTGGGAGGCCGAGGAGGGCGGATCACTTGAGGTTAGGAATTCAAAAGCAGCCTGGCCAACATGGTGAAAACCCGTCTCTACTAAAAATACAAAAATTAGGTGGGCATGGTGGTGGACACCTGTTATCCCACCTACCCAGGAGGCTGAGGCAGGAGAGTTGCTTGAACCTAGGAGGAGGAGGTTGCAGTGAGCCAAGTTTGCACCACTGCAACTCCAGCCAGGGGTGACAGAGTGAGACTCCGTCTCAAAAAAAAAAGTATTCAGAAGGCTTATATCACCTTTTTTGATAATAGATATGGCTGGCCATCTTGTAGAGCCTGCGGTCCATTCATATTCAAACAATTCATACAGGGTAGAAAGCCTACGCTTTGCTGGATGATATTAAAAATGGAAGTGCAAGCCAGGCACAGTGGCTCACACCTATAATCCCAGCATTTTGGAAAGCCGAGGTGGGTGGATCACCTGAGCTCGGGAGTTCGAGACCACCCCAGGCAACATGGTGAAACCTGTGTCTACTAAAATACAAAAAATTGGCCAGGTGTGGTGGCATGTGCCGCCTGTAGTCCCAGCTACTTGGTAGGCTGAGACAGGAGAATTGCTTGAACCCAGGAGGTGAAAGCTGCAGTGAGCCGAGATCACACCATTGCACTCCAGCCTGGGCAAGAGAGTGAGACTCCATCTCAAGAAAAAGAAAAAATGCAAGTGCAATACTTGTGAACAAACATAAAATCACTGATAAGCAAACCCATTATAATGTACTTCTCATTGTTCACAGAAATCTTATGGGAAAGAGACTCTTTGAAAGTAAAAAAGATCATCAGCATGGAGAAATTTTGACCCAGGTTCCAGATGACATGCTGAAGAAGAAAACAACTACTGGAGTAAAATCATGCAAAAGCAGTGTGTGTGGGGAAGTAGGCAGTGGTCATTCATCTCTTAAAAGGCACATCAGAGATGACACTGGACACAAGGCATATGAGTATCAAGAATATGGACAGAAGCCATATAAATGTAAATACTGTAAAAAAGCTTTCAACTGTCTCTCCTCTGTTCAGACACATGAAAGGGCTCATGGTGGAAGGAAACCCTATGTGTGTGAGGAATGTGGAAAAACATTTATTTCCCATTCAACCCTTCAAAGACACAGGATAATGCACAGTGGAGATGGACCTTATAAGTGTAAATTCTGTGGGAAAGCCTTGATGTTTCTCAGTTTATATCTTATCCACAAACGAACTCACACTGGAGAGAAACCATACGAATGTAAACAATGTGGTAAAACTTTTAGTCATTCTGGTAGCCTTCGAATACATGAAAGAACGCACACTGGGGAGAAGCCTTATAAATGTAATGAATGTGGGAAAGCATTCCATAGTTCCACATGCCTTCATGCACATAAAAGAACTCACACTGGGGAGAAACCATATGAATGTAAACAGTGTGGCAAAGCCTTTGGCTCTTCCCATTCCTTTCAAATACATGAAAGATCTCACACTGGGGAGAAGCCCTATGAATGTAAGGAATGTGGAAAAGCATTCAAGTGTCCCAGTTCTGTTAGTAGACACGAAAGAACCCACTCTAGGAAAAAACCCTATGAATGTAAACACTGTGGGAAAGTATTATCTTATCTTACAAGCTTTCAAAACCACCTGGGAATGCACACTGGAGAGATACCTTATAAATGTAAGATATGCGGGAAAGCCTTTTACTTTCCCAGTTCACTTCAAACACATGAAAAAACTCACATTGGAGAGAAACCCTATAAATGCAAGCAATGTGGTAAAGCCTTCAATTCTTCCAGTTCCTTTCGATATCATGAAAGGACTCACACCGGAGAGAAACCTTATGAATGTAAGCAATGTGGGAAAGCCTTCAGATCTGCCTCACTCCTTCAAACACATGGTAGGACTCACACAGGAGAGAAACCCTATGCATGTAAGGAATGTGGAAAAGGATTTAGTAATTTCTCTTTCTTTAAAATACATGAAAGGATGCACAGAGAAGAAAAGCCATATGAATGTAAGGATTATGAGAAAGCATTCAGTTTGCCCAGTTTCTTTCATAGACATGAAAGGGCTCACACTGGAAAGAAAACTTACGATTGTAAGCAGTGTGGCAGATCCTTCAACTGTTCGAGTTCCTTTCGATATCACGGAAGGACTCACACTGGAGAGAAACCCTATGAATGTAAGCAATGTGGGAAAGCCTTCAGATCTGCCTCACACCTTCAAATGCATGGAAGGACTCACACTGGAGAGAAACCTTATGGATGTAAGCAGTGTGGGAAAGCCTTTGGATCTGCCTCACAACTTCGAATGCATGAAAGGACTCACTCTGGAGAGAAACCCTATGAATGTAAGCAATGTGGGAAAGCTTTTGGATGTGCCTCGCGACTTCAAATGCATGGAAGGACTCACACTGGAGAGAAACCATATAAATGTAAGCAATGTGGGAAAGCTTTTGGATGTCCTTCAAACCTTCGAAGGCATGGAAGGACTCACACTGGAGAGAAATCTTATAAATGTAAACAATGTGGTAAAATCTTTAGATGTTCCTCACAACTTCAAGTGCATGAAAGGACTCACTGCACAGGCACCCCATAATCCCAGGCTTTAGGAGGCTGAGTTGGGAGAACTGTCTAAGCCCAGGAGTTCAAGACCAGCCTGGGCAATATGGTGAGACTCTTATTATAAAAATAAATAAATTAATTAAAAAGATCTGCAGTTGGTGGTAATGGCAACTGAGAAATCTATGGCTGGGATACAATGGCATCTGCTGGGCAGGGCAGAGAAGTCACAGAGGGAGAATGGGTGGGCAGGGGGCTACTGGAACAAATGGCGGTCTGGGTCCCACAGCAACAATGACTTTAGAGGCCAGGGAGGGGTGGAAAAGGTGAAGGCTCCCAGGATGCAATGCTGGAAACATGGTGATGTACTTGGGTCCAGGCCCTGGGGGGAGCTGATGCCTACTGGGGGCAGTGGCACCTGAGGGAGGTAGGTATGGAGGCGCATCCTTGTGTGGATTGGGGAGGGAGCCTGAAGGGGCACAGAGTGAAGTTCAAATCATGGCTGAGGCCGGTTCAGGCTGAGGGTGAAGGTGCCTGGGAGGGCATGAGAGTCAAGCCAGGTTTGGGGAACAGGCCAGAGAGTTTCTAAGTATGGACCTGTTGGATCCAGTATGACTGGAGCCAGACAGGGAGTTAGGGGGATTCAGAGTGAAGGGCTGGATTCCGGACATGTGTGCAGCCTAGGAGGGAAGAGGGAGGGTGGCAGGGAGCTTAGAGTCCATGGATAGTGGGTGTGTGTCCTGTCAACCTTACATCATACAAAAATGTAGGAGTGAGTTGGAAGAGTTTATTGAAGTGAAAAGCTGGAAATGGCCATTCAGAAAAACACATACTCTAGTGAAATGGGCACAGTGTGGTCCAAAGACAAGAGTTACATTCTTGCTTAGATTTTCAATTAACCATTTTTACCAGCCCTAACAGTCTTCAGATAATATTTCCTTCTGTTCTAACTGCTCTGCTTGTACCACTGGGGAGGATTTGTGATGCTGTCCTGTTTGGAAAAGCCAAGTTACTCTCTTTACACTTTTTTTTTTTTTGAGATGGAGTTTCACTCTTGTTACCCAGGCTGGAGTGCAATGGCGTGATCTCTGCTCACCGCAACCTCCACCTCCTGGGTTCAAGCAATTCTCCTGCCTCAGCCTCCCGAGTAGATGGGACTACAGGCGCGTGCCACCATGCCCAGCTGATTTTTGTATTTTTAGCAGAGACGGGGTTTCACCATGTTGACCAGGATGGTCTCGATCTCTTGACCTCGTGATCCACCCGTCTCGGCCTCCCAAAGTGCTGGGATTATAGGCGTGAGCCACCGTGCCCAGCCCTCTCTTTACACTTTATAGTAATTTGAGTTGGATCATCTCTGTGCTGTGCTCAGAGATGCTCCATCCTCCGTATGAGGTGGAGGAAAAGGAGACATATCTGACCCATTCATGTGTGTTTGTGAAAAAGGCAGCAAGCAAATAATTATTCGGTTTTAGGAGTTAGGCTCACACTGGAGGGAGAGGTCAGAGCCCTTCAGGGGGAATGTTTATGAACAAATAACAGATGATTAAATTCTGTAAAGCAAATACCTTTTCTACTTGAGAATATAGTGTTTCTCATTAAATTATGCAAGTCATTCAGCAATCTAATGTTTCATGTAATATTTTTGATCCTACTAATTATTCTTATTTCTGTTTTTTGTTATTTTTCCTTTCCTCTTATTTCTTATTTTATGTTCTCTGTTTAATGCTTAATGAAAAAATACACCAGTTCAAAATAGCACCTGCAGTGCAGGAAGATAAATGTTTTTTTTTTTAATTGGGGATGGGCGATGGCTCACCTCAGGGAGGACCGCCTGCCAGCTCACTCCCAAGATCCAGCTATGAGCTTTTTAGGGCAGATAAATTTTAAGACTTTTTCCCCAAAGGATACTGGAATGCAACTGTCAATTCACAATTATAAAGAAATGTGGATATATATATATGTGTGTATATATATACACAAGTATATCCATACCTATATATACACACATATACATGCATATATGTATATGGGTGTGGATAATTTTTTTTTTTTTTTGAGACAGAGTCTTACTCTGTTGTGGGG